GAGTGAGTGGCTGATGAGAGGATAGTCAGAAGAGAGTGTATATTTTTCTAAACGACGATGGAAGAAGTGCAGCAGAAAGGCACCGAGAGAAGGTTCACATGGTTGTATGAACGTTGTAGACGCTAAAAATTAATCGACACACGAACTCCGTGTACAGTCTCTAAAAAGTCTCTCGCATACTCGCCTCCCTCTTTTTTGTTTTTTGTTTTTTGTTTTTTTTTTATATATACATATACACATGCATATATACGTTCTGCCCGCCTAAAGTCGCGCTAAACTACTCGTCACGCACTCACGCACGCGTCCACGCATTCATTCGCGCGTATATATATATATATATATCCGTATGTACGTACGTATCATGTATTCTCGGCTCTCTTTCTTATACTTCAACTAGACACTGTTTGATTGTTACATTTTGGCAATTCGGCAGCACTCGCGAAGTTTTCAAGCTCCTTGTCTCGCGCGACTACTGGAGCGACGTGTTGCACGCAAATACGCCGCTGAAAACCTTGTTCCCTATTGATGAAAATCCGACAAGAATAGGGGTTTATACTTTATACCTTGCTCGTAATCGAGGGATAATCGCGTGGAAATTAGCTTCGTTATTTCAACAGAGATTGACAATGGCTGGTTTCACCCCAGATTTTTGTCATTCTCTCGAGATTCTCGAGAACACATTTCAAATAGACAATAAAAATAAAAAAAAGGTCTAATAAATAATATACAACAAAACAAAAAAAAACGGGCTAATGTAGCCTAAAAAATAGAGCGCAAATAAAAAAACCAAAATCTCCATAAAAAGTTCTTTAATTAAACATTAAATTAGAGGATTTTCTAATGAAAATTTTGGTTTTTTTATGTGCATGTTTTTTTGTAATTAGACTCTCACTAGCTCGTTTTTTCCGTTATGTTGTATATTTAAAGTATATGTTTTGTCTAATAATTCTCATTTCGGGGGAAAAACGGGGACGATGGTGTTCAAAACGATATTGTTCAAATGTTTTCGATTGGAACTGTATTCATCAGCGTGTCAGCGTGTAACAAAGCGCACCTTCCGCGTTAATAATTCTGTTTTATTTTTCTACAGCTGCGTTCGCGAAAACTTCGCCCCCCTGTCACTTTCTCGCAAGCGAATTATTGGCTCTTTATACGCATATATATAACAATGATTCAATAAGGCATACGGTATCCAATTAGGGACTTCTCCCTATTTATCATGAAACTTTTATCGATTGTACGTGTATCCCTAAAAGTTTAGACATTTCTCTCTCTCTCTCTCTCTCTCTCTCTCACACTCTCTCTTCGTCTCCAAGAAACTTTCTCGTAATCTCTTAGGTCCGCAAAAGGTTGACGTTTTCGCCTAATGGTCGAGAGTAACGGATAGCCGTATATAAATTACTAAAGGGAATTACACGAGTGTCTATAGAGAGTCACTCGAGTATACATTCTCTCGTACTTCTTGCGTTAGCGGTTTGTTGGATACGTATCTCCGGGGCAAAGTTTGGAACGCAGCCAATGTAATATAAAGTCTCTTCTTCGCATAGACAACGTTAGAGTCTCTCGCTTCCCACCGTTTTTCTATCAATCGGGGGAGGGGATTTTTTTCGCCGTCGTAAAACGCACGATCGTATATGTACACCTATCTAAAAGTAACGTTCGCAGAGCACTGCGTGCGTCGGCACCTGTTACATTATATATATATATATATATATATATATATATATATATATCTTTTCATTTCATCCCCATTTTATTATAATAACTTGTCGGTTTTCGTCTCTTATTCGTCTACTATACAAACTCCTGGCTAGAACAACGGTAGATAGTCCTCATGCGCTCGTTTTGCTTTTACGTAAATGTGTTTTACTGTATATTTTTTTCTGCTCTTATTTTTATTCATTTATCTCGTCATGTGCCTGGAGGGGTTTCGCCGGCAGTGATATTAGCTTTCGCGATAAAGTCTTCAGGATGTAGAGATAGAGGAATACGGGCCCCCTCTGATTAAACTATGTTTTGGCTTCTTACCGAAAATAGACGCGTGACGTATATAAATTGCTTTCGTCAACGATAAATTTCTCTCGTTTACTATATCTCTCTTTCTTTTTCTTTTTTGTTTTCTTTACACCGTTCTAATATCTCGATAAATTCGATTTTCTACACCCAGCGAGCTTCTCGTCAGCTAATATCACTGAATTAACGAGTGCGAAGAATAGAAATAATTTCCTATATTTTTCCTCAGAGTAAGTTTCTCTCTAGATTTTTCTCTAGGTTGATATATTACAGGCCTGATTACGGGGTATTTCTCGAAATATTCAATGTCGATCGATATTCTAGCCCGGTAGAAATTTGCTAAACAAACTTTACGGTGCAACCGATAAATAAAATAAAATGTCTCGCGAAAGAAATCTCGGTTCGCTGTGGCCGGTGATAATCGTCCTGTTTCCGGTTCCCCTCCATCGAGCACGGCGTTTATCTATCGTACGCAAGAGGGTTATAGACACGTACACGTACACCCAAAACCTTACAGAGCTTACAAGATTACACGAAATAGAAATACGTTTTGTTTCCACGCATTAGGGAAACGTCGGATCGAACCGGCGAATCGGCGATTTTCCGCCGGGAAAAATCGCGACGTTGAAGACCGATTCGACGGTTCCGCGTCCGAACGAGAGCGCGTGCAGCTTCCGTTTCTCACGCTTCTCTTCCCCTTTGTTTCTCACTCTTTCGTTTGCTCTCTCGCGTCGTTGACAATCACATATTACACTGACAATCGAGTGTCGCGCGCTCGCATTAATTATTGTTTCCGCGAGAAGCATCACGATCAGTCCAACGAGCTTGATTATCGTCGCGCTTGTATAAAAATAATTCCCTATCTCCCCGCGGCATCGTCGATCGGTGCCCCCTCGTCGCGGTTCCTTCGACTGTCTCCTGAGTTTCTCGCCTTCACCCTGATCGATTGGAACACGAGTTTCTCCGCTCGTTTCTCGGATTTTTTTTTTGTGCGATATATATTTATAGATCACCCTGCGTTCTCTGAATCCCAGATTCGGTCGCTTGAAATCTTCTCGATTTCTCTCGATCGGCGTCGCGGACGCCAATGGAATGTCCAAGCGAGGAAGTGCATTTGCTTGCTTTCGTTGTTAAATGAATCACGAATGTGCGCCGACGCGTGTCTCGAGGGATGCTTGTTGTACGAAGAGATGCGGTTAAGGAAATCAACGAAGCCGCTCGATTTTCTTCAAGAGGAATGAGATCGCGATAAAGTACGATTCCAGATAAACCTGTGGGTCGCGATGCCGGTGGCTACGGGTTCATATAATTAAACTTAAATGTCAGATTAAACCCGCCATTGTACGCACACATTGTTCGCCAACTTATCTTGGAAAGTAGACAGACGTCTCTAAAACATGTCGATAGAATCTTGGATAGATTTTGCGAGCGTCTTCTTGCTGCGGGTTTTTGAGACGCGCGTTTCTTTGGAACCGGCGAATAATCTGATCCGAGTTCCGACCAGTTGCCACGGAGAGTATATACTATACCGTCGACGTGAAATTCGTTTCGATCCAGACCGCCTTAAGATGGGTTTGCTCCGGTTCCGTATACGATTCTCGCCGCCGTAATATCGAAAATCTCCGATATTTCTCCGCGAGCAAAAATGCTTCCCGTCGTTCTTCCGTCTCGTCTATCTTATGTTCCTCTCCTCCGTTCCTCCCTTCATCGGTTAACTTTCTTGCTTCTCTTCTTCATTGCTATTTTTTTTTACATTTCCAATAGTATAATGCTTGTTTTTAATTTTGCTGCATCAGAAATTTTTGTAATAATTTAATATCGACGATCGCTACATTATAATTGAAATTGGCTGATTAAACGATTTTAATCTTCTACGGTGGATTTCACGCTTAAAATATATTTAATAACGATAAAAGAACCAAAGAGAGAGAGATTACTGGCGGTATGATAGGGCGGTTAAAGAATTGGATGAAGACTGAGGTTCACGTTTTTGGGCAAATGATTTCCTCGGATATCGACATTCTGGATTTAGCTCCGTGTCTCGGTAAAAACAGGTCGAAGGACATGCTCACTACGAAAAACGCATCCTAAAAGAGCGTTTCTTGGGACCATATTGGCGGGATTGATGACAATGGCGCTGGTGGTGGTGGTCTATGCTTCAGCTCGATCGGCGGTGAACACGGTGGAGATCCCACGCTACTCTGGCTGCTACTAGTCGTCGTTGAGGCTGGTTGCGCCCTGTCATAAAAAGTTTATTAATTAATGAAGAAAATAAAGAAGGCTCTTTGATGTAAAATTGCGAAAGAAGAAAAGAAGATAATACAATTAGAACCAGATCAAAACTACAATAAATCGAAACAATCTCTTATAATTATTAACAAGAATGAAAAAGGCTCATTTGACATTTAAATCGCGGAAGAAAAGAGATGAGAGTACATCTGCAGCTAGATAGAAATTAAAGTGGATCGAAACGCTCATGATTATTGATATTTACACGAGTTCGTTATCATTAATTAGCAAAGTTCGATCGCTTTTAAATATACGACGATCCTGTAAAAAAAAAATTCTTTCTCTTTTCGTTTGAAAATCCGTAAGTGAGAATTCACCTGGAGGTTTCGACGGCGGCACTGATGGTCAAGCACTCTTGGCAGGGTTTGCTACCGGCCCGTCGCCTGGGCACGCAGCCCGCGCATCCGTCCCACTTGTCGAGGGTTCGCTTTTTCTTAGAAGGCACCCGTAGGAAACGCCGACAGCTCGGCCCGTTCATTGCTATTTTTTTTTTACATTTCCAATAGTATAATGCTTGTTTTTAATTTTGCTGCATCAGAAATTTTTGTAATAATTTAATATCGACGATCGCTACATTATAATTGAAATTGGCTGATTAAACGATTTTAATCTTCTACGGTGGATTTCACGCTTAAAATATATTTAATAACGATAAAAGAACCAAAGAGAGAGAGATTACTGGCGGTATGATAGGGCGGTTAAAGAATTGGATGAAGACTGAGGTTCACGTTTTTGGGCAAATGATTTCCTCGGATATCGACATTCTGGATTTAGCTCCGTGTCTCGGTAAAAACAGGTCGAAGGACATGCTCACTACGAAAAACGCATCCTAAAAGAGCGTTTCTTGGGACCATATTGGCGGGATTGATGACAATGGCGCTGGTGGTGGTGGTCTATGCTTCAGCTCGATCGGCGGTGAACACGGTGGAGATCCCACGCTACTCTGGCTGCTACTAGTCGTCGTTGAGGCTGGTTGCGCCCTGTCATAAAAAGTTTATTAATTAATGAAGAAAATAAAGAAGGCTCTTTGATGTAAAATTGCGAAAGAAGAAAAGAAGATAATACAATTAGAACCAGATCAAAACTACAATAAATCGAAACAATCTCTTATAATTATTAACAAGAATGAAAAAGGCTCATTTGACATTTAAATCGCGGAAGAAAAGAGATGAGAGTACATCTGCAGCTAGATAGAAATTAAAGTGGATCGAAACGCTCATGATTATTGATATTTACACGAGTTCGTTATCATTAATTAGCAAAGTTCGATCGCTTTTAAATATACGACGATCCTGTAAAAAAAAAATTCTTTCTCTTTTCGTTTGAAAATCCGTAAGTGAGAATTCACCTGGAGGTTTCGACGGCGGCACTGATGGTCAAGCACTCTTGGCAGGGTTTGCTACCGGCCCGTCGCCTGGGCACGCAGCCCGCGCATCCGTCCCACTTGTCGAGGGTTCGCTTTTTCTTAGAAGGCACCCGTAGGAAACGCCGACAGCTCGGCCCGGGCGCGTCCGAGTCTGTGGAGAAGCCCGAGACCTCGTCCTCCGTATCGATGCACTGCTCCTCGTCCTCGTTCTTGAGGAACACGGAGTCGGAGCCGAGCGACCTGGAGTCCGGATCGGGCGGGTCCACGCTGCCCATCGACGCCAACGGCGCCCGTCTGCCCGACGACCCCGCCATAAGGTTGCCGACCGCACCGGCGTAGAGACCGACCTCGCTACCGCACGGCGATAAATCTGGAGTTGGCTGTATTACCTGATCATAATGGAAATTTTCGATAAATTTCGACTTTGTCGAAATAATTACCTGACGCGAACGGATATCGTAACATTTTAACGATGCTTATAATCGAGAAAGAGATGGTAAATGTATCATTGTTATGATAGAATCACAACGACAGTTGATCGAATTACATTGGCAAGCTCGTATAAAAATAATTATAGAGTAGATCAAGAGAGGAGAGGAGAGGGGGGGGGGAGAGACGAGGAATGCAATTTATTTTTCAATGTTCGCAAGAACAGGATCATTGAAAAGAAGAGTTCAGATTATCTCGGAAGATTCGCGATCGCGAACGTCAAGTCTACCTGAATATCGATGGGGTAATATAAGTCCCATGGCTCATCATAGGCTGCGTGACGCGGGAAGGATGGAGGTGGCGGAAGGCACGGCATTACCATGGCTGAACCTCTTCGTTCCAGATAACTACTTCCAGTGCTGCTACAGGTGACCGAGCTACATCTTCTGTGATCGACGGGGGGAGCCAACCTCGGTTGCCTGATTGGCGGTGCCAGCAGGGCGTCGTATCCACCTCCGACCGAAGCGAAGCGAGGTGCCACCACGGGTGAATGAGGCTGGTTTATCTGGTTTAAATATAATTTCTATCTACTATCCGGTGTTTAAAAGGACGAATTACTAATCAATTATAAGAATATCTCGGATTTCAGATAGATATTCTAGAGAATAAAGAGAGAGAGAGAGAAAGAGAGAGAACGTTTTCCATTTAATAGATCGGCGATATATATTTCTTGATCATTTTGATAAGATATTTATTTTATTCGATTTATTATCTTACGGAGAGAGAATATATATTTAAGCTATTATAGTCTCTACCTCGACGCATAACGACCTCCGTGGACCGCGACCCGGCCTAGGTGGTAACCTGGCGATTGCCTCGAGAGCGGCGGCGAGCGCTCGTTCCTCGGCTTCAGCTTCGGCGACCGCCGCCTCCGCCGCCGCGGTTAATGCCGGGTCCTCCAGTTGTTTACTCGCTTTGCACCTGATAAATATATAAATTATATTTAAATTTCACTTTAATTCCGACAATGGAAGTATCATGGATGTACTATATTTCATTTCTATAATAATTTATTTTTTTAAACAAAAATATTAAAAATTGTTTAATATTTTTTTAGGTAACCGATATAAAAGAAGCCATTTTTTTACGAATCATACTTTATATAGATAAATAAATAACAATAAATGAAATCAATAATCAAATAGAAAAAATAAAAAAAAAATAGAAACGTGAAAAATTTTATTTGTTAATTTTAGATGAACAGGATCTTATTTGATGGCATGTATAGTTATCAACATATTGAATATTAAAGCTTCAAAAACTATACGGTGCAATATCAAAGTTGAAAATGTACCAATTATAAGCATATATAAAAAAAATAATTTTTTTTAGTTAAATATTTTTGGAAATAATTTTATTTTTTAAATCAACAATTCAATTATATTTTACGTAAATTTAAGCAGACCTATTATTTGCGACTAATATCGCGCTTGCGAGATGTTATTGATAATCACCTGCTTTTGTAAACTACCAGTAACACCATTAAACTGAAGAAGCCGCCGAGGGTCGCGGCGATCCGTACCCCCGTCATGACGTCGTACGTTTTGTAGAATTCGATTTTGAGCTGTTCGCGCTCGCTCAGAGTCGGCGTTGCATCTGGCAGGAACGTCGTCGGATCTGTCGTCGTCGTCCCTGTCACGTTGCTGCCGACACTCCCCATTCCTGCAGATCAAACAGATTCACTTACGTTACTCACGCACGAAAGAACGTTGATATACGTATGCTCGCGGACTCGAAGTGAATGCTGATTGTCTGGAAATTGTCTTTGAGACGAATGCGCGACGTCTGTAAATTGTCTGCGAACGTTTTCGGAAAGATAAACTCTTCAATTCTAAAGCCTTGCAAGAATTCTCCCGTAAAATGAGATGTTGCGCATCTGTAGCCGCGTTTTGTGAGAACGAAATATAGGAAAAGTGGATAAACGGTCTCGTTTTTTATCCGTTTTGCTTCCCAATTTAATTGCAAACTAGGGACAATGATAAATATCGATGACGAAGGAAGACAAAGATTGATTGAAACAGGAATGAACGAAGGAGCTGAACTACTCTTGCGAATATTTTCGGAAGGAAAAGCGCATAAGTCGTAAATCACAACGAGAATTTTTGTTTACCGAACTCTGTCGGCCAATGTACCCTCGCTGGGCTCGAAAATGAATTGACGATGCTGAATTTCCCGGAACAGAACGAAGGCGCGTCGTCAAAAGGGGTGCTTTTGGCAAATTCACCCGGCAGAAGATTTTACATTATTCCGAAAATAAAAAGGAGGTGAGATCAAGCGCGAAGAAAATTTATGCAGAGATAAGAGCTTGAAAGAGGAAGAGAAAGGGTTTAAAGAGGAAGGAGGAGAACATTTCACAAACAAGCATTGAGCAACAGTCGACGGGGAGAAGAAGTGATATACGCTGCTCTCTCTCCTTCTGCTTGTCCCTTTCTCTCTCTTTCTCTCGTCGAGCTGGCCGGCTAGCATTGTATACGTGGAGACGGTTGTAGGTTCATGTATTGATTGCACCTTCGCAAGCCTACCTCCAATGGTTAGAAACAATGAAACGGCATCTGAACGAATTTATTTAGCCAAAATTTATTGTCGTTTGCATCTCTTTTTCGACAGCTCGAAATGCGAGATTACCTAAGCTAACAAAGAGTATTGTTTGCCAGTGCGGGTGGAACGATTGGAAAAGATTTGAGGAAAAGATTGACGTGCTGTTCTCAAGCGTAATTTGTCCCGACGTCGTTGAAACGCGACGTTTGCGAAATGATTCGTGCAATTGTGGGTATATAATGTTGCTACGAAAGCTGAAGAGTCATTTTTAAGAGGGACGGAATTTCTTTTAACAGGAACGAGAATATGGTTGGCAACTGCTTTCCATTCTTGCGATCATTGAATCGCAAGACTCGGGCAAGATCGGTTTCCAATTCAAAGGGGGTGTGATTTAACGATGCAAAAGAGTGTGCGATTGAGATCTCGATAACTTTAATAATTCAAATCATTTAAAGAAATATTATTCAATATTACAAATCACTCGGCAAAATAACAGGCTTTTGAGTCTGAGTATTCTGCCTCGATGGAATTAACAAGCTTCTTCGTTTGACAAGTAGATAGCGATTTGACGGAGGATATCGTCGCTCTTGAAATCCTCTTTCCATTGATTCAACGTCCTTAATCACTCGGGTTAGGTCGAGTTAGGTCAGACGACAACCTGTGGATGCTCCACATTCGAGAAGGTTGTTCCATGTGCTCTCACCAGCCGTATCCCCGTAAAATTAACGGCGCGGTAAATCCCCCAAGGAGTTTCAACCTACAGAATTCTCGCCACGTAACAAGAGCTATTTACTATTTGCCGCACACAAGACGAGCGACAAGGAGGGTTTTACGCAGCGCGACATGAAATTACAGTCGCGATATTATTTCCATTAAAATTTCCTGTAACCAGTACATTTTCTCTGTGTATCTCGTTATTACATCGCCTGTTGGTAATTGTCGCTCGATATACCGGGGTGTTCCAGTCAAAACGGTCTAGCAAGACACTTTTTGTCTATGAATTTTTTTGGATTAATTTGAAAATAATATATCCTTTGAAAAAAATATGTCAAGGAATATCACACACATTTCTTTTCCTAGTTTCCGATCTTTTGTATTAGATATTTCTGCAATTAATTCTTAAAAAAATATAAATCCACTTCTTTTGTGATGAATTTTTAATTTGGGAATTAATCATAGATATTTTTAAATGTAAAAAAATGAAAATTTGCGAAATAATAATAAACTTAGCCGATATTTTCTCATCAAGAAAAAATTGATACCAAACTGAAATCTATAGATAAAAAAGTTAGGTCATATCAGAGATGTGGAGGGCAGCATGAGAAGTAAGCACTTTATTATACGAAAATTCATCTCTTGGGAGGTTCATGCATTTTTCATTATTCTAAAATTAATTTCTTGAAGAGTTGGTGTATTTTACACGCCGCAGGTTCGCGTGTAGCTGAATAAATTTTTCGTTCATAATTGACTTTTTTTTTTCATCCGGCAAATGGTTACAAAATTATTTTCTCAGGCAATCATGCGATGCCACGCGCGAGAATCAACGTGGTTGGATATCACGCTTTTAACGCGTTCATCGACGTGCATAACGAGCGATTGAGCGATATCGATTTACGCGTTACCCGTTATGCGTTCTAACGATCGCGACCTGCATCGCCGAATGAAATTTTGACGGGAATTAGCTTGGGTAGATTCTGCGCGCATGTGCTATTACGCGGCATTAAATTTGCGTACAATGCGGCCCGAGAGTCTGCCAGAATAGCGGAGGATATAATATGTTAGATGATCGAGGTGTATATAATCAAACGCGCGTTTGTATGTACTAGCAAGCACACCGAGATCGTTCCTTGGCTCATCGTTCGAATCAAAGAAAGTAGGCTAATCTGCGCCTTTCGCATCTCCCCTCTCATCTTTTCGTATCTTAACGACAGTCGAAGTGATTCGAGTCTGCGAACGTTTTCGAGAACCATTTCATTCGACCGCGGCTTAAAATTCAGCGCTCATCGCGATTACCAGCTTGTTCCACAATGAAATCGCAGCTAAGGATGCTTGCCCGAGTTTCATTTTAAAAATCCAGGGAATGCAAAAGCGTCTCATTCGTGTGCCTGGCGAGAGAATATTCTCAGGTCTTGAATTTAATTAAATAAAATTTGGATAATTATTCTCCGACACTGAGATGGAGAGAATTCCCAACACTAGAGAAGATTAGATCGCATTGGCAAGGATAATTTTATGTACAATGTGCATAGCAACATTATATAAATTAAATTGGAAGAAAGTGAATTGTCTCTGTTTTTCTTTATCTTGATATTTATGCGTTTCTCCCCGTACTTGCTGATAAAATTTTCGACGCAGAATAGTCTTGAACTCTTTTTTTTTTTTTTGGAAGATTATAACTCTCCAATCTAACACACAAAAATTTTTAAGTTGCGGAAAAGCAGCCATGTCAATTTAATCTTTTACACACGTATTCATTCGTAGGATTGGGCATTATTTGTGTAATCGCTTTTTAGTTGGTTACTTTTGAATAAAATTTTATTCGCGAAGGGGACAGAATTTTTGCGAAGTTGTGTGTCGAAAGGTCTCGCTGAAAATCGCGCGCGCGGCGAGAATGTAACTTTCTGAAATGCAAATTTGTGCTTAACTTTCGCGAGCGCGCGGGACGTCCGAGGCGTATCGACGTCCGAAAACTTGATCCAGGTGAAAAGAAAGTTGGGCGCATAGTTGGGGAGACGTGTGCGCAGATAACTTTTAAATATTCCGCGAAATTGCCGTATTGACACGTCAAATATCGCGGTATGAAGAGAGAGAGAGAGATATAGAGAGAATCGGGAAAGAGAGAATATTTTTTCGTTCGATTTTTTTTTTTTTTTTTTTTTTTTTGCGAAAGGTTATGCGAGGTCTTATCGACATCCAGCAAACGCCATTTTTCCTCTTTGACGCCTGGCGGGTACGCGTTATCATATTTCCATGTCGGCAAGCGGTCAAAAAAGGGCTGGCGCGACATTGGATGAAAATGGGTCGCCCGATAATTCGTCCCCTCGAAAACACCGTTACGATATGTATGGATTTGGGTTAACTTCATTTCGGCGATTTTGCAGTCGTGTCGCGCGCGAATCTTCCGTTCGCAAGAGATACTCGGGAACTCAATATAAAATTCTTTACTAAACTCTCACAATTCCGCATAACATTCCGTATCTCTTACCGTTTAACAATATATTTCTTTTCTTAAGTAATTTTACGAAAGTATATATGTTTTTATTAAAAAAAAAAGAAGCGTTGTGCGTTTCACTAAAGTATAAAAAGATAATTAAAAAACGCCTACATAATTTGCACACGTCACAAATATCATAATTTTTTTAAATTGTATAAATTTACCTTTGGCTTCATATTTCTTTTATATCAAGCCTCGTGTCAGTCAACAACTTATCGTAATTCGCGTTCGTATCTCGAAAGCAAATATTTCCGTTATCAGACCATTTTATCCAAAGTTTTAAATTATCATGTGTCAACGTTTTAAGAGTGTTATATATCTAGCAATATGTAATTTGGATATCTATGAATTAAATGTGCGATGCAATAAAAAATAATAGAGATAGTTTTTAAACCAAAATTAAAAATAATTAAAATCTTTCTTTATTACATAAAAAATTGGGCATTCTAAATACATGTTATTGTTAAGTTAAGAAGAGAATACGTGCACTGCATTTTACGCTATTCGGAACTTAATAAGACACTCCACTGATACAGGAACAATTAAAAAATATTGTCGCTAAATTTTTTCTGTATATCACTAACAATAAGAAATATCCTAGCTTACTTTATCACTTTGACAAAATCTGATTGCCTAATTTGCCGATATATATATCGGACCGCGTTTACATACCCGAACATTCTGCCAATATGAGAGCAAAAACGTTAAAAGAATATTGGATGGAGAGAAAGAGAAAGAGAGAGAGAGAGAGAGAGAGAGAGAGAGAGAGAGAGAGAGAGAGAGAGAGAGCGTCGCGGATTTGGGTCACTGGTTTGAGGCCTGTTGAATGCCAGACCGTTCTACTGATTTCGCCGCTGCCTTGCGGATTATAATCTTATTGATAATCTTTGTCAAATCGTGCGCCTCTCGA